GTTCTACGTACCGTACGTACTACTACTCTGTATATATATATATATATATATATATATATAATATAATATATATATATATATATATATATGTATATATAAAAACCTCAACAATGGGAAACACCTAAACTTATGCATATGATTAAATATATACCTCCCTTTACTTCAATATACATACACAACAATATAAAATACGCCTGCACAATAACAAAGTAATATCATGAACTCATTCTGCAAGACCAGATGCCCTTACAGTCAGCGTCTGAACTCCGGCCATACCGCCGTAATCCATTTTTGAAGAGCTGATCTCTTGCAGCCAATAAAACACACACCATCATATATGTTATGGCATAATAGACTAACCACACACCATACACCCACACCCACATATATGTTGTCACAATAGACTAACCACACACCATACACCCACACCCATAAATATGTTATGCCATAATATACTAATCTCGTACCATACACCCATACTCATGTATATGTTATACCATAATAGATAGTAACATTGTGTCGAAGACGCTGTATCAAGGGGGGGCTGTAAGTTTAGGTTCCGAACTTTCGACCATAAACACCGTGGGTCTTTGTGGGTAGACTGCACGCTCGCTGCCAGCGGACTACACAAAGTGCATGCACATACATTTGTAGGTATACAAGACTATACACATCAGTACATGCACATACATTTGTAGGTATACAAGACTATACATATCAGTACATGCACATACATTTGTAGGTATACAAGACAATACATATCAGTAATTGCACATACATTTGTACGTGTACAAGACTATACACATCAGTACATGCACATACATTTGTACTTATATAAGACTATACATACGATAACACACTGCTCATCGCGCCATACCTGAGGCCTCGACGGTTAGGTTCCGAACTTCAGCCATAAAAGCCGAGAATCGTTCCTGGTTGTCTGACTTGGCATCGCCCGCGGGAGCTTCATCAACCTCTCCATCGCAAGATGTTACTCTAGGAGATGACGGATAAAGATTACTTAATGAATATACGTACGTTGTTGAATGATGAGATGTTCGGTAATATATATATATATATGTGTGTATACATATTTATATATACATAAACACACACACATACACACACACACATACACACATACATACATACATCCATACATATATACCTACATACATACATCTACATCCATATATATATATATATATATATATATAACACGTGTGCATTGATATACATATGTCAAGACAACAATGCCAGGAAATACTTCCTCCAGATAGCTCAATAGTGACCATTTCTTACCCAATCATCGCATCCCACGCAGGCACTCCCTGGCGGAACTTCTCGTTGATCATCACACACAGCGACAGCACATGAGTCTTGTCTTTGCTGTCCGGTTTATAATTCGGCCACAGATATCTGAGGGTGTGCACAGGAACATTAGAGCCACGTCAGTGGTCAGTTTGTTGGAAACAAAGAGTCCGTTTGATTGGTGTAGACTGATAATATATACATATAAGGTAAGATCTGAAGGACTAGCTATATATACAAATAAGGTAAGATCTGAATACATATAAGATCTAAGTATATATAAAATACAACACCTAACAGCCTGGATGGGTATCTTAATAGTATCTAGATAGATGGGTGAAAATACAACACCTGACAGCCTGGATGGGTATCTTAATAGTAGATAGATGGGTGAAAATACAACACCTAACAGCCTGGATGGGTATCTTAATAGTAGATAGATAGGTGAAAATACAACACCTAACAGCCTGGATGGGTATCTTAATAGTATCTAGATAGATGGGTGAATTACAACACCTAACAGCCTGGATGGGTATCTTAATAGTATCTAGATAGATGGGTAAAAATACAACACCTAACAGCCTGGATGGGTATCTTAATAGTATCTAGATAGATGGGTATACCACGTTCATATGAGAATACAACACCCAACAGCCTGGGTGGGTATCTTAATAGTATCTAGATAAATGGGTATACCACGTACATAGGAAAATACAACACCTAACAGCCTGCATGGGTGTCTTAATAGTATCTAGATAGATAGGTGAAAATACAACACCTAACAGCCTGCATGGGTATTTTAATAGTATCTAGATAGATGGGTATACCACATTCATAGGAAAATACAACACCTAACAGCCTAAATGGGTATCTTAATAGTATCTAGATAATGGGTATACCACGTTCATAGGAAAATACAACACCTAACAGCCTGCATTCGTATATCAATCGTATCTAGATACATGGGTATACCACGTTCATTCTAAAACCGAATCCTCCAAACAAACAAAAAGATGAGAGCTTCTTATACGCGTCTCGTTAAAAGCACACTACCTTTCCAGGTACTGGTTGATCTCCAGCACTTGCAGTCGGTGGGACGAGAACTGGGTACCGAGGATATGCTCTCGGTAGATCTTGGTGACAGTCTCCGCCCTGAACTTAACATTACCTGGTCATATACATAAATGGAGAGGAATGGCAAATAGAAATGAGAGTCTATTAATATACTGCATTCGGTATATTTGGGCTGAGATGCACGGCAATTGAGGTAAAAACCCTAAAACCCTAAAACATACTAACAGGCACCAACCGGACGCCTCATGCAGAAGAATGCCTGTACTTGATCAGAATTTTAGGAAAGCTAGCTTGGTTGACTACAGACGATACCGATAGAAGTCAACACATCGGCAGAGCCAGAATAAAACCTCAAGATGGAGTTTCGTATACACAAAATAATGAACGACATTGATATGTGTATATATATCCGCCTCTCGCACATGTGTCTATGACAAAACATACTCCTCTAGACAACACTATACCTACAATGTAGCTAGAAATTTCACGTAGCTAGCAATTTCGCCCCAGATGGTTTAGTTTAGGCTGGCGTTGTCAATCAATAGATAGACAAGCCATTCAACGACTAACCGTACAGACACATGCATGGATACAAACGTCAATATACCCGCCTACAAAAATGTAACTAGTACGCCAACAAATGCGTAACTAGTACGCCTACAAATACGTATCAAGTACGCCAACAAATATGTAACAGGTACGCCTACAAATACGCAATAAGTACGCCAACAAATATGTAGCTAGTTTGCCTACAAGTACGTAACGCCAACAAATGCGCAACTAGTACGCCTACAAATACGTAACAAGTTTGCCAACAAATATGTAACTAGTACCGCCTACAAATACGTAACAAGTACGCCAACAAATGCGTAACTAGTACACCTACAAATACATAATTAATACGCCAACAAATACACTTATACTTCACTAAGTGAAATTACTCCCGTATGTACTTATATATCACACAGCTGTAATACCTACGTATATACATATTTCACTCAGGTGTTAAGACATACATACACATTACCTAGACTCTACACACACACATACTCTTTCCACCCCAAATAGCCTGGGCCAATTTTTTCACTAAGCTGAAATACCTACGTATATAATTATATCTCACTCAGTTGTCAAGACATACATCCACATAACTTAGTCTCCACACACACACATACTCTTTTCGCCCCAAGTAGCCTGGGCCATTTTCTTCACTAAGCTGGAATACCTACATATATACTTCTCTTTCACTCAGTTGTTAAGACATACAGTCACATAACTTAGACTACACACACACATACTCTTATCGCCCCAAGTAGCCTGGGCCATTTTCGCGAGCGCGTCGACGGTCTTGTCCTTCACCTCCTTCTTAGTCAGTGGTTCCTTCTTCGTCAGCAAATGCGGTTGCACCACAGCCCCGGGCCCTTTCCTGGCCCCCATTTTGGGCCCATTTGCACCTGTTTTAGGCCCGTTTGCACCCATTTTAGGCCCATTTCCCCGCTGGGGTGCGCCAGGTCTTGGACCTCGGGTGTGTGGGTGTGCTGTGTGTGGTAGCGGCTGCATGTGTGCGCGTGGGTGTGTGTGTGTGTTCATACCCATGTGTTGCATAGGCGGTCGCATAGGGACACCCCCCGGCACATTCATAGGCATGTTCATCGGCATCACCGGGTTGGCCAGTATGGGCGCTTTCGGACCCGCACCCAGGAGGGGGTCTTTTGGTGGGCCTTTTTTGCCGTCTTGGACTTGCTGGCTGCCACCCTTATCTCGCTTCCCACTCTGTTTCTTGTTCACTTTATTGTCCTTCTTGTTCTTCTTGTCCCCCTTTCTGCTTGTTTTGCCTTCTTTCTTGGTTGTATCCACCTCAGCATTCGCACCTACCTCTGCCTGCGTCTCAGTCACTGTATCTGTACTAATACTTGCATTAGTATCAGCATTCACATCTACGTCCATGTCTATCGCACTCACCCCATCCCCATCCGCCTTATCTACCTGTACAGTCTCATCAACGCCATCACCCGCCTTATACATGCTTACATTGACATCTGTACTCGTTTCCATGTCTGTACCAGTCGTAGTCTTGGTACTACCTCTACGCTTCTTGGGCGTGGCCTTAGATGCAACGGCATCTTCCGATTTACCAGTATCTACATCAGTTTCTTTCGTGTCATGATTAACAGCTGACGCATCAGTTGTATCAGTTATATCAGACGCACTCGCTTCGCTCTCCGAGGCTTTCTTAGCCCTACTGGTGCGCGTGGATGATGGTGTTTCTTTCGTGTCGGGGTTAGCGTCTGTTTTCGCCGCTTTCGGCGTATTTCGCCTTACCATCGTTGCATATATGACAGGTGTATGGTTCTCGATGTCGTTATAAATTTGAATTAATTATAGATATATATAGATATATATATATATATATATATATATATATATATATATATATATATATATATATATATTGTGTGTGTGTGTGTGTGTGTGTGT